TTATCATTTTGTTATTTATTTCATCAATCCCTGGGGATTTTGTTGTTTTTAAACGGCTGATAACTTTTGAAACTTCTGATGGAGAGATAAACTTAATTTTCGTTGACAAATCTGAGGTTCTGAGGAACATTTCAAGGGGTCAGAACTTCCTCAGTTCGCCGTGGAAGGATGTGATAAGGGGAGGTTTTACCTCTACTGCACATGCGTTGGCCGCATCTACACGTGCGAAAGATCGAGAAATGTAGACAATGCCAGAACATTAGGATCATCTCTCGGAAGGTAAGAGATGCCTGATTGTAAAAGTTTCCTGCCTTCAAACACGCACACGAATTTACAAAGGTATTATCAGCTATTTTTTAGATTTAAACTTATACAAAATGTGATTATTGACATTTTTACTAAGAAATCATAGAATACGCAGAAACATTGATGCTAAAGAAGCATAGATTTCATTAAATCTATGTTAATCGACACCGATTGAACATTGCAATATTGATGAATTTTGTTATCACAACAATAATTAAAATACAACTATCTGCTAGGTGACAGTTAACAGTTTCTTTCTCATCTTGGTTCGTCCCTAAGTACACAATTTGTGTACTTACATGTACACAATGTTAGAATGGGTAACCTTCAGGAAAATGGCATCTTGTAGGGGTATCGTATTCATGTGCGTAACATGTTTAGGGGCACTGGTACAGGATCCTGGGAAGAATGTGAAAATTTGGGGTCCAAACGCAACAAGGAATTAATAATATTTTTTTCGTATTTTTGTTACATCATTTTTCATCTTCTTAAACTGTATCTAGCTTCGATATTTATTTTGCATTCCATTTACGACACTTCATGTTTTTAATTATTTCTTTTCGATTACCAAATGAGAATAAATTTGTGTTGCACACATTTCTTTTTCATTTTTACCTAGTGAATAAGAGTAGTTGTAACTGATAGTTTAAATTCTATACAGTTAGTGCGCAATAACTAACAATATTTTATAATATAAAGGTAAACTGTGCAATATTTCTACAGATCCTGAATATGAAATTTTTTTCGTCAAGAATATGAGATTCTAGCCGATGTATCGTAGAATCTTTATGAGTTTAGTTATCTTTATGAGTCTAAAACGGGATGATTCTTTCTGTTGTGTAATGTTATAATTATCATGGCCTTTAATATTGGATTTCAGACGTGTATAATCACATGAATAAATAAAACATTCTTGAAAAGTTCGATTATTTCGTGCAAACTGTGCGTAGTACATTTTTGATTGAAGGAACATTATCCCACTTTTTTTTTCGAATTTAGAATGTTTTTCGCTGTGTATTCACTCTTCCTAAGTTCGTACAATAAGGAGTCTATCGTATTTACAAAATGCTATAGCATCGCCAACTATGATGTATGTTATTTCGTAGAGCATTTGTATGTAACAGAAACATTATTTGAAATTATCGAATTTTGTGTGTCCTTTATTTTACATACTGATCAGTTATACCTAGTTAACTTCACAGTAAAGTCTGAAATAATAATGAATTTACGTGAAGCTTATGTGTACATAAAATCAGTTATTAATATCTTCTTTCAGCTTCAAATAATTTCTGTCGTAATGTATCTCTTAAATTTTTGTATGTAAATTATGACGTATCGAAGCCTCATTGTTATTATTTATTTCTTAAGTTCCTTCAGTTGCCAGCTCAACCCATTGCCATGTACACCTAACAAAATTCTAGAACTTAAGAATACACAAGAAAGAAATCATATATATTTATAATCAGAAGTGTTTTAAGAGTGGATGGGTAGCTGCTGGGAAGAGAATGATGGAAACGAAGAAGTTAGCTGAGATTAAAGAGAATAGGGATATAACTAGTTTGAGAAAGTCTGTGGCATTCTGTATTACCACTAGTTTAAGATACGTACATGAGAGGTGAATACTTTTTACTGGACCAGCCCGTTACATAACTTTTCTAGACTCTGTGGTTGAAACGGCAAATGTAATACTTTTATTAGGTGTTTGGGTTAGGTATAAAAGTTGCAAAGGGGAACGAAAACTATATGAATTCCATATGATCAATGTAGTACAACAGCGATTGGAACATGATATTCTTCATTGAGAATTTTCGTGTTCACGTTCGGAACGGCCCCCTAACGTTCGCTGTTAATAATGACTCTTTTTTCTACACCTTCCTAATGATGGTTTGATGATGTATTGTTGGAAGGGATTGGATGAGAGATGCATCCTCTATAACTCGCATGTAATTGCTGCCACGGTCGTCATTCTGCGACCTTCCTCAGGGCGAAATGAATATCGCAACAAGACGGCCGAAACGTTGCCAATTCCGGCCACTCGTAAGCCTACGCTTTCCAGTTCAATCTTCTTCCCCTGCCTGTTTGAGTTGGTAAGGACAACGTGCAGGTTCTTTCACCCCAAGTTTCTCCCCCTCCCGTCGCTCGTCCGTCCACCGTCCGTCGCTCGCTGATGGAACCGCGACGACTAAGACAACACAACAATTACAGCACGTGCGTGTGTTGGGTGACTTTGTGTCGTCGTGTGCACGCTGCGGACGACGCCATGTGGGCGTTTCCACCCCTCAGCGTCTCACCCCCTCCCGCGAGGAGGTGACGCCCACCCGTTCTCCCGTTGACGGTGGGGAGAGCGGGTGGGGGGCGGCGAAAGTGGCGCCTATAAGGAGCCTCCCCCGCGCCCCGCGACCGCACTACGCGTGGATCCAACGCGCGGCATGCGGCTCCAGGTAGGTGCTCCAGCGCCGCGCCGCTCAGGCCCGGAAGGTGCGACGCGCCGTTTTCGAGGGATTCAGGAAAGTCAGTGCCGGATTTGAAAAGACGTCCAAAGCCCCGGTCCGAGTTAATTTGTGGAGATTAATGCATCGTGTGTAAAATACAATTATAAAATCGTACTTGTTTTTTTTTTCGTTATATACTATTTTTATAACAAAATAATGTTTATAATATTTTCATATTTTTTCTACAATAAATTCTGTGTATTCAAAATTTCAATTTTGAACATTTGAGAAATGACTCATATATCAAATACAATGTAATTATAGAGTTGAACCCAATGAATTTGTGTCAAGAGTTCACACGTTTTAAAGCAGTTAACTTAAAGTCGTTTTTGGATTTTGAATTGTATTATTTTTATAAACTTCCATAAGCTGTTTTTGTTTTTTATATTTGTATAGTATGCTGTTCACAACTAGCACTTTTAAGTTGCAATAAGTATAAGGAAGAAATATGTATTATTTCAAAAAAGTCAGTGGTTTGTATAGAATTAACTCAATATTGCAAAACATTTCTTCTAGCATTGAAATCCATTTGCAACATGGAAAATTTATGCATTAGATTGGAAAATGTTGAAGTTAAGAATTGCTTGCACAATCAGTGAAATCGCATCATGAAGTTCCTGGCCTCTCTATACGCGTTGTTTAGGCTCGTCACAATATAGTAAGAAATAACAAAAACCTGACTGAAATAAAAAAGTACGTTTTTGTGCTTGGTGTTAATAGCCTGGTACCAATAACGGTTAAACGATTAATCTCATTCTCGAAAACAACTTGTCACATATACATGAGATTTTACAGCGCGCCATATTGATCTTGTGTGGTGTCAGGGGAAAACGCAACACTCGTTTAATTAAAAATTAACAATTTTGTAATTTACTTTATCAAATGTGAATGGATGGTCTATAAAGAATTTTAATATATATCTTACATAATTATATAAAATTGCATTTTAACTTTAAATATAACGTATAAAAATATAAACGTATAGTATAGTGTATTACGAAAATGTTATTTTTAAAGTGTAACGATAAGTTTTATTATGATACTTACGGAATGTACTATTCACTTCAAGAATTGAAAAAATAATTTGTTCTTGCAACGCCTAAGTCGCGAATAAAATAAAAATGAAAATATGACAATGGTTTGAATGATATATTGACTTATCGAACATGCAACAGTTGGAATATAATAGTGTCACAAGCAAATAAATGCAGAAAAGATAAAAACGGTGCTGCGAGTGTTATTCAAACGCATTTCATTTGGGGCCAAACGTAACCCTATGAGATCCTGTGTAATGGCTTTTTCGATCGAAAGATTCTTTCTAGAGCATGCATAATGTGGATTTACACTAACAGAACTTTAGAGAGTTTACGCATTATTTCTCTTACCCATTATTTTGTGTCACCATATTTCTTAGACGATATCTCTTCGGTCTAAACCGATCTTACGATAATAACTTATGAGATTGATATTGATTTGTTACTTCTTCCAAGAACAGCAGTTGCAATTTCATAAAACACGAGTAGGCATTTTCAAAATCGCATTGCCGAAAAACTAACTGGCGACAGGTTCATCACGAATAATCGTGTGTATCCTTTATTTATACTATATACTTGAAATGCAGTAGTAGATTTTTCAGTTAAAGACCTTCGTATCCTGTAAACATTACCCGTATTACATTTGTACACGTAAGTAGACAAATGCTTGCAAATGAAATGAACTCACTCGTGAATAGGTGGTTGTGCTGTCCGTGCTGGCAGCGGCGGCTGCTGCAGTTCACCCAGCCACGAGCAACCGTTCCCACACCAAAAGAAGTTTCACTCGCACCCTCGAATCAGCTTCACCGATATCGCCCACCCCCAGAGCACGACGCACGCGCTCTTCGCTGTACACCGCCACCACCACCACCGGCACCACCACCGTCAGCCCCAACAGTGTCAGCACCGAAGCAGCTCGGCAAGGAGCGCGGGGACATATCCGCGCGTCGGATACCAACTTGGTGTCGGTCCAACACTGGCCTGCCAGGCCGGAAGAGTCCACTACGGTCCCCAGTGGGCAGGTTTCGTACCGCACCGCTCAACGGCGGGGTTGGGAGGACGATCTGCAAGAGACGATTCGGCCGAAACCTCGAGAAGAAAAACGGTACTGGCCCAAGCCCACACAAGTCGCAGACATCCCCAATCCAACAGAAGACCCGCCCGGGGACTGGTCAGAGCGGGTTGGCGTGGGCGACGAGGAAACGGACAGCGTGCAGAAACCCTCTCCCAAACCCAAAGATTCGGAATCGCAGGAGTCGAGGAAGAATCTGGAAGACCGAAAAGACTGGACCGTCACCGTCCGCACACCGTCGCCGTCTGAACTGGCGGAGCTGAACAATTTCGCCGCGCGGCTGACGCATCAGCTGGAACAAGAGGCCAAGGAGCACATAAAGCTGCAGCACGAGCAAAATTTGCGCCACCAGCAGCAGCAACAGATGCAGAGGACCCAGCAGGAGCTGCAGCACAGGTTGAAGGAAGCGCAGGCTCTGCAGCAGACGTTGGCAGAAGAGGAGCGGCAACGTCAGCAGCAGCAGCCGCGTCTGACGCTGGGCCAGCTGGTGGAGGTGGAGGTGGTGGACGCCTCCGGTGAGGACGACGAGAACGCCGGCCGGCGCTGGGGCGACCACGAAGACCACGAACAGGAGGTGCACATTGTCAAGGTACGTGTGCCATTCGGTTACTATTGTCAAGTGTCTGTTCAAATGATGCTATTTCTAACGTGTCAAATTTTGCCAGGAAACAAAAAGAAGGTTATTTTCCTTTTTTCATTTATTAACTATTAAGCCACTCTAATCTAATTCGTTTATAAATAATGCATTGATAGCAATAATAAGAATATGAAACCAACAAGATAATTAAATATACACAAAAATTCCCTTTTCAGCATAATCACCAAATATGGTGTATTTAACACGGAAATAAAGAGAACTGAACATAACTCTCAATAATATCAAAATTCTGCAACTTGATAAGGAAAAGCAATTTCTTTAGAAGTAGAAATAGTTCCGTTTGATCAGACGTTTAACATTCTTCTCGATTATTTATTGAATAGAGATTTTGAGGAATATAATCTTTGCTTACAAAAAAATCTACACATCTTATTGTTCTTATTGCGAGATTAGCTATCATTTGTTTTAAACTAAGCAAATTGATGTAATAAGATACATTTACAAATCTTCTGTACACAAAAAAAGTGGCCTACCTCTAAAGTTGTCGAGTACGAATTACCTGAACGATGATCTTAGAAAAGAGTGAATTCTCACTGATAAAAATTTATAAAAGTAGTTCTCGCGGCAGCCAGTGAGTAGAGTCAATGCTTCCTACAGGGCATCAAAATAAACTGTCATGCCGGGAGCGTAGAGCTTCTCCCAGTTGGTGTGGTTCCCCGCTGAGTGGGGAAATTCCCTCCAGGCGACGGGTAGTTCGGCGTCTGAGCTATCCTCCCAGTGAGTGAAGATTATCGCTACTTATACTTACTACGTCGCGATAAGTACATGTACCGCACTTACGGGACTAATGATCTTCGAAATTGACGTGTTCGGAATCACTCGATCAATCAACCACCCAGAATGCTAGAATGTTCTTACGCGTGGGCGTGGCAGGAGCCCGTGCTTCGCCCGGTGCCCATGCGCATAAATGAGGCCGAGCACATCGAGGTTGCCCGTGGTGCGCACGCAGCCGGTTTTTACTGCACGTGAGCGAATATTTAGTTATCAGTTCTCGCCAAAAACGCACATTTCCAGCTGTATGGTGTGCATGGAATAGGGTAGGGATCCCAGAATTAGGAGAACATGCACAAAAAAAATACTTCTCGCAACAGTACCACAGTTTTTAATGTGAAATAAATAGAAAGTGCTTGCGCCAGCGTCGTCGTTAATCTGAAGGGTCATCGCTACATTGGCTCGAAGTATCGCAGTTTCTAATCGCCCCCCTGCATGGATGATTGTATGTGTCCGCATGAGTGTCCTGCTAGCGTTACCCCGAAGTTATAAAAGCATAGGAATTGAAAAGCGACCTGAAAAAAAAAGTTCAAATAGTCTTTTATGAAATCACGATGTAACAATGGGTATTAATACACGAGTGCGATATTACGAAAGGAGCAAATAACGAGCCAGTATCGTACACTTCACGCGAGTGTATTAACCCATTGCATCGAGTTTCATACGGAACATTTTTTAGGACTTATGGTAACTTCCATTAGTTAAACCTTTACTTTGAATCGTTTCGTGTCAGTTGACTTGCAGGGTTCAGCCAAAGAGACCTAGTGGACAGGTACCTAACCCTACTATTTGCCACTGGTGGCTTTGGTTACCAGCCCGCCTGCGAAGGAGTACTGCGCTAGTCAAATAGGATCAAAGTGAAATTAAGATACAGTTTATTTTAAATATTATTCCACGAAAAATACTACTAATAAAATAAATTAAAACTGGCAAGCATAATGAAATTGTGTACATTAAATGCATTTTTAATGTATGCAATGAAACGAAACATTTATTAGAAGTATTATCAATAATTATGATTTTTTTTAACTTCTCTGTGATTGGTCAAGAACCTGTGTCGTAACGAGTATCGTCATGCAACAGGTAGCAGCCATCAAATGACAAAATGACACAACGGGAGCATAAAAAGGTGTGTTTGCGCGTGCGTGGCAGGTGCCCGTGCCGCAGCCGGTGCCCGTGGCGGTGCCGCAGCCCGTGCCGGTGGCCGTGCCGCACCCGGTGCCCGTGCGCGTCAAGGTGGCCGAGCACATCGAGGTGCCCGTGGTGCGCACGGTGGCCGTGCCCGTGGAGACGCCCGTGCCGGTCAAGATCGAGCACCTTGTGCCCTACCCCATCGAGAAGCCCGTGCCCGTGCCGGTCGAGAAGCACATCCCGTTCCCCATCCACGAGCCCTACCCGGTCAAGGTGAGTCTGCCGACAACCTGCTTGCTTATCGTATTCGCGCCAGTAAAGACGAATTTGTGAAGGGAAGGCGCTCGGCTGTCCGGGTGACGGCGCGTGGAGAGTGTGATGCCTCGACGCGGCATCACCCAGGCCACTGAGAGCCTTCACACGATTCTGGCTACGGAAGCCACCGTTACATGGTGGCGAACGATTAGCATATCGGACTTTTATACCCAACTTCGCGGGTTCAAAGCCGATCGAAGCCATGTTTTTTTCAGGGCGAAAAAATCCTTCTTAGGGGAAGTAAAACCGGCTGCCCATGTTAGATTTACTGCATGTAAAAGATCCTCAAGCCTAAATGAAGACTCTGAGCTAAATTTAAACCGCCTGTTTCGTCGTCCAAGAAAGAAATACCTCCTTTCACCGCTTGTTGGTGAAAGGAGCGTAGCGAAATTTGCGTGGTCAGACAGAAGAGTAGCCCTCATGGCATGAGTCTTGTCACGTAAATTAAGGTATTAATTTAAGTAAAGTTGAACATGTGAAAGGCATGTCTTTTTACAAGAGATTCGTAAAACACTGAATTATGTTTTCTGTGTAGCGCACGTGTTTATACACCTGTTCATTTTGTATAATTAAGACATAATTTAAGTACCAGTTCTAATTAATTTCTTGCTTCTCAAGGTGTAAATACCTTATTTGTGTGAAAAAGTTCACATAACTGGTTTTACAGATTCAGTGACTTTATATTCTGTAGTATCTTATCTGAAGTAAAACAAAATGATCTTCATAATTAGTATTACTAGATTACATATGTTCCATTAATCCATGCTCTTTTACTGACCACCAAGAACATCAGTCTGTCTAATTTTCCGAGATGAATAATAAAATGTATTTTTTTACTGAATTGATAAAACGAATTTGTTTCGATTGGCAACATATTATTTCCATACTCAATTGCTTATTAAACTCGGATTAATGGGCTCATTTGGTAATTACAATTTCATTATGTAACATATTGCAACATTATGTCTTACAATACTTAGCTTGTGGTAGTTATCATCGGTTTATAATACTTGTTATTACGAAAATGATATAACTTTTGACTTAAGATAATTTTTATTTCTACTACTATCTACAAATGATATTCACCAAGGTGTCTGCTAAAATTATTGTATCGAATATGTCTGAAGGTAAGAAAGATTGCAAGTTGAAGCATATTAATGTAGCTTCATGGTATTAACTTTCAATATTTAAATAACCAGTAATTTAGAAAAAAAATGTTTATCGAGATAAAGTATTTAACAATTTACATTCTAATAGTATAATTATTTTATCGTGCAGAGATTCATCTGATAGGCAGCGGCCATTAGTCTTCATATCATTCTAACATAAACTTTCACTCTGCCGAGCGCATTTAATTTACACTGCTGACTTTCTATGCAACAAAGTGTAGTTCATTGAAGATGTTTTTCAAGTGACTGACTATGCTCTCTTCCTCAGATTTCTTATCCATAAGGATATTCAGGAAATCTTTATCTTCAAACTCGTTTGACAACGACAGCATTTTTTTCTTGTGTATTCCTTTTTTTAAGTGAGGTATTTATTACGTGGGCTAAAGTGGGGGATTTGCTTTTGCAAATACATTTTATTACACGGGAGCGAATATTTTCATATCAATTCTCGTCAAACACGCGCATTGCTACATGTATTCATAAATTAAATTAAAATCTATATGATTTTGAACAGACATCCCAGATCCCTAGAAAACATGCCCATATTGCACGTCTTCCCATTTTTAACTCTTTTTGACGCTAAATAAATAAATAAGCCGGCCTGAATAGACCGAGATTGCTACGGCTGAAAGGCGGGTTCAAATCCCGCCTCGGGCATGGATGTTTGCTTGTGTTCGTGTTGTCCATACGTGTTCATCCAACAGTTAAAACAATTAGAGTGGTCGCTAGATGACCAAGTTGTTAGAAAGCGACCTTAAATAAATAAATAAAATATGTTCACGAAGAACTCGTTGTTCTGTGTTGTTCCAGGTGCCCGTTCTAAAGACGATCCACCACTACATCAAGAAAGTGACAAAGACGAAGAAGGGAAAGGGCAAGGGGCACCACCACGACCGCCGCCGGCATCACCGCCATCACCAGAACCGGCGGCGGCCTCGCCAGGATCGGCGCGCGCGGGTCATGCGTCACCGGCAGCGCATGCGGAAGATGCGGAGGCCCATGCCGTCCGACTGAGTGTCCTCGCCCACAAGGTCAGCACGCATGCGGCATGGCGATGGTGGTTGGCTTGAACACGTTTGAGTTATTGATTTATATAGTGGGGTTTAGAAGCTTATCCACTACTCAGGGCATTGAGACTCGTTGAGTGATAATTTCATGAGTAGATGGTAGCAAATGATGGAGAAATGTAACAAGAGACACGAAAAGTGGGAAAACTTGCAAGGAGAGCTTGTTTAGTATGAATTTGCCTGAGGTCGAACTTATCCCGGAAGGTGGAAGGTTTATGCACTATCCTCATCGCCCAATAAATACGTTTGAATGATCTTGATGAGCTCATGAGTTTTATACGGTAACTTCCACATCCTGCTTGTTATGTGAATTGATTTTCTCAGTAAGTGATGGATTGACTGTATTAATGTATCGGAGAAGCTGCGGCAATGATTTATTACGTGGGAACAAATGTTGCATGTCTCAATTCGTTGAATTGCCGTTACTTTTTAATTTGTTCGCGGAAAAGCTTTTTTCATTTTGATTAAAGAGAAGAAGGAAGGTACCAAATTTATCCCAAAATAACACCTACGAGCACATTAACCACCAAGTCTGCGGCCTACACACATTCTTCTTCCGGTAATAGTGAGCGAAACATTAAGGAGAAATGTGCAACTGGTCGCTCTTCTTCAACCTACAAAAGACTGAATTGCAATAGGTCACGCAACTGGAGCCAGAATAATCCGTTAAAAATAAAGGAAATAAATTATTGGGCGAAAAAGGAGCGGAAATTTTGTATTCCTAATAGTAATTTGAACGTGTATTGCGGTCGGAGTTTCAATGGATGGTGCCTTGTTAACTTATTTTTCACTGCGTGTTTCAGAAATTCATTCACATCCTTAAATGTATAGACTGTTGTCATTGAGATATTGCAAGTTATTGAAAAACTCTTCTGATTACTTACATATCATTAGTCATCAAAACTGTTAACACACGGTTTTGATGGTGTTGGATCGGTTTTGACAAGGCAAAATTGACACAAGATCTTCGTGTATATTCTATTGTTGTTTCCTACTTTTTCTGCTCTTGAAAAGATAGGGATTTTCTTGAACACCTTTCCACACCCAACTGATTCGACCCGTACATTCTCAAAGAGATTGTATGGTCGCCTCAAGAACTTAAGCATTTATTCTCTGTGTACCTTTACCCTCAAAATACTATATTCTCAAAAATATGTTTGCTCTTCAAGTCATCTCCGTCACCTCAAGGTACTTACCGCTCCCTTTGCTGTTTAATCTCCTTTGCCTATTGGACGTGAGATCTTGAAAGTTGAATTCTGTCGTACTATCAGACATGTACTAGCGTAATACAAATCTAATCTTACGTACGCCATAATTTACTGATTATAACCTACAAAATAGTAGTTAATCTGTATAATGTTTACAATTGATTGTTAAAATAGTTACGAATTTACCATTACGAGAACGTGAAATAAAAACATATTACATCCTTTCATTTGACGGAAAGATGAAAGAGAATTTTTTTTATTAAAATAAGAAATCAACATTTAATTTTTAATTAGAAGTTATAGAGTAAAGTAATAAAATAACTGATCTATTGTAATAGCAATTTGTGTATTTTTAGTTTTGTAATCTGTGCTTTAAATGAAAACCTAATAAATGAGTTTATGGACTTAACGTGACAATTCAAAAGCATATACATATGTCGCAGCTTGTATGACATATGTATGTATGACGTTTGTATGTATGACGTTTGCTACAACGTATGACGTATGACGTGCAGTAATTGCACGCGCATAGGGTGAATAGAAGAAATTTCAACTGATACGAGCGTTCCAAATACCATCTGCGTCGTAAAATCTCACCAAATGAATGCAAGCGTTGTAACTAATATATCGCTGACAAGGAACAAGACTAACTGTCGTGTTACCATCTCATTACAGCAAATTACTTCAACATTCTGGAAAACATGCGTGCATGTACCGTGAATTTTATCTTCCAGGCTTTTTAGACGAATAATTAGTATTGGTATCGCATACTCAAACTTTAAATGTTCAAAATCGAATTGACTTTAGACAAAATGTATTGAGATTATGACTTTTCCATAATGATTTTGAAAATAATACTCGGATCGTTTTTTTCAAAATGAGCCCATAAATTAATTATTTTGATTTCGTAATTAGAAATTTATTCTAGATAAAATAAGTTATTTGCCCAAACAGCAAGCGAATTTTTAAGCGAAGCCAGAGGTTCCAAAAAGTATTCAGCATTATTTACCAACTCAAATTTGAGAAAGTTTCTTGCATTAATCGGGGAGAGAATATAAAAGCATTCGAGGGAGAAAGAAAGACTCCTTAGAAAGTGCAGACTTTCTTCCCAATATCTTAGTCACACACTTCAAATGGAAGTCATAAGTTATCGAACCTAAATGTACCCACGTCTTTTTACTTGTCCGATGAGGGATGCAAATCAATAAGTCATGAAAATGTATTGCCGTAAAGCGTGTGTGCCCGGCAAATAAATCAATATCATTCAACGAAAAACTTACATGCACAATGACGCTTCTCTTTATTATTCAAAAATCTTAATCTTGCCACCGTTCAATGGCGTTTCTTGAAACAAATTTGTTTCCCGGAATCGTGAATAAATTCGGAATAGTTATGAAATTCAATGAAATACATCCCATTAATGAATGATTTAATAAAATAGCAAAAAACTAAAGCTTCAAACACAAATATATATTATTGTTAAGTGAGTAAAATGACTTTTTCTGCTGCCCTGTAGATGTAAATAGTAAATATAAAAGGTTCATGTAGTAAATATCTAAGACATAAAATATACTAAATTAAATAAATAAGCGTAATGATTAGAAAGAGAGTAGAGAATAATACGTTTAAGCAAGTATGACAGCGTTTTAAAATGTTAAACATATGTGATCGTTTGTTTATAATGTTTATTAATTACATTAATATTTTTCTTTGTTTTAAGGTTGTTTGCACCCAATACGCACTTTTTTTCTATTTCTACTTCATCTAGTTATATTAGGAATAATATAAATGTGGCACTCGACATGTTTTGCTATTCGAGTATCCAGATGAAAAAGGGTTCTTTGAAAGACTATTTACAGTTTAAATGTTTAAAATTTGCAATGACAAACTTCAGATACTTTTTAAGAGCTTTTGTGCAAAGGTTTGTACAGTAATGACCATTTGATGTCACATTCCAATATATCCTGTCTCAGAGATAGATAATCACTACTGTTTACTTTTAATAGATTAATAAATAACAGTTTGTTCTTTATCACTGTAAGCAGACAGCTGTGGGCTTTTTTGTGTGAAAATTTGTGAATTCTAGTTCAAATGATTTGTTAAAAATACGTACATCTCTCAAAGTTAGACGTGATGACCTCTGATGGGTCTACGAGGTTTATGTAATCGCATAAATACAGCTACTCTTTCTCTTTTTAAATTTCTTTTTCTATTCGATCCTTTTTCATGAAAGAACGTCGCAATCGCTAGCAAACTGATGTTTGAACATGGATTTTAAATTGTGTAGTTCTTCTCCTGAAATCCAAATAGCATATCTAAAACGATTAGATATTCCACACTTCTTGAACACTTTTGAACATATGAAACTCTTTCAATAGTAAACCTAGTGTGTACAACTAACGTTTCCCAAAGTTCATGAATTTTTTATGTATCATCTATAAAATTTCTCTGTGGATTGGAATCGCACTCGTCAAAATACTTACAATTTACTCGCCTGTTTTGCTCGTATTAGTTTTACTTTTGTAAACAATTTTATCTGATCTTTAATTTTGTCAGCAATCACTCCGAAGAGAATTGTTCTACCTGGAAATATTCTTCTCTTTACTTGAGTACTTCTACCTGCATAATTGGGTTTCTCGAGAAAGTGAGAAGGAAAATCAGAAGATTTTCATTAGTATTTTATGTTGCCACCACTTGGCCCATAAGTTTATCACCCTTTTTATTTATTTTATTTTCTAAATGCTTTTTCTCAGAGTAGCGTTAGGTTCATGAATTATGTTTTCAAGGACTCAAGCAGAAGTATTTAGAAGATTGCCCCTGAATGTTCTTCCTCAGGTAAATATTGC